AGGTTCTCAATCGGGATGAAATGTCCAAGGATTGCTGCCTTGAGATGATCGTAAACGTTCGGTACATTTGAATTAAGGAAGACCTCATGAATAGCAGTTATGTGATCCATAGAGAAAGATTCCAGAGCGCAGGCATATTCTTGCCATTAGTTCATCATGCGGCGGATCTGGAATTGAGATTCCAGTGCCGCGAACCAAACTTCTGGATAGTGGGGGATGAAAGGAACCGGTCGAAGACTAATCGCCTGTACTTCTTAGTCTATTATACTAATGCTATTCTTATCGCTATCCACCATATTAAGTTGTTGCCAGAATATTATATATTGAAAAAATTCAATACGAATACGTGCAACAAAAGTGGATAGATAAATAACAGACTAGCCGTTGTGATCTTCTTTGGAAGATTTGCCAAAGGTCAAAATGTATTCGAAGATTTGATTTAACAGATGTAGATGGCATCGAGTCTCGATTGACTGTGATCACCACTGCAGCAAGATTATGCGTTAGAAAACAACTTGGTTCCTTTGATAGGTCGTAAACCAGAAGACAGTAATTGGTCCAGATAAGGTATATTTATTGGCGATCTCGTGGTATCGAAAGAAAACCGAGACGTGCGAAAGGGTACAAGAAAAAAGGTAGAGCATATGAAAGTTCGAACGAACAAGATGGACAACGGAATGAAAAGTGATTTTGATACAGTTAAACAACAAGTACAGTAAAACAATCACTGGTCTAATTGGTTATAATAGTAATTGTTTCCATTGTACCAATCGTCTTTTCGTCGAGAAAAGTAGATCACAACACATGGACTACGATTGCTCGTGTACATACATTACGTTATCCCACAGTATGACGACTTACGAGTCATACATGTACATGGTTTCGACTAAAACTTAACGGCAGTGACAGAATATATGACTGCTCTACGTTAAAACAACTACGAAATGTTATTAGGCATCATAAACATAGTACGAAATAATCTAATGCATTTATGAACCTCTCCTGGGTTACTCTTGTTTCCAAAAAAATAAAATTTGAAGTTGATAGTAATTAAATTCTGGATTATTTACGAGGTACTGTTGATTAAATTCTTAGATTAACACAGCGTTGTAGACCGGATTTGTATAAGTCCAAAACTAATATGAGCCAAATAGGTAGGATTGCCTGACTAATAGTCGTAAATTTCTAGCATTTGTATCCTCTGTTTGGCCATGGAACTCAGCAATTGAAAATTAGGCTGACAATGATCAAGTAAGTAAAACATTCTAGTGGATAGTTTCTAATGGAAGTTAGTTAATAGTGATTAAGCAGAAAGATGAATTTACAATCGACAGTTAATCTTGTCTCGCCTATACAAGTGGATAAGTTACAAACACTTGTGCGTTCGTGTTGCCTTTTAGCTATATTTACTAGTGGTTGACATTTTAACAGATATATTACACAGGAGTATTTACATGCTGCTAATGCTTATTAACGAAACACAATATCGGATTATAATCGTAGGTGACTGGTTGGTTCTGTCAATTGAACTTATTATTTACGTTCGAAAACTAACCAAAATTAATATGAAACAACGAATTTTTACAGTAATTGATTACCATAAAAATGAAAAAGTACAATATGCAGTAATCAAGATTATAATGACAGGTTGCGTTATTCGAAATCTTGCTCACCAGTGTAGACCATTAACGTTGATGATCTCTGTCGAATGACTGAAGGCCCAATCGAGGTAGACAGGAATGGTGTGACGAAATAGCTAACGTCGAAATCACACCTCGCGGTCAGCACCTAACGTCGATTACCTCTTCGTCGTATCAAGTCACTATGGATACTTTGAAGACCGTACAACACAAAGAACTCTATTACGGAGATATATTAGTAATAACGAGTACATAAAAGATAATGAAACCACCACCGCTTGCGCCAGTCCATGGCATACGATTAACTGATGCATGTTTGTTGTCCTTGACTTTGAAAGGGATCGGTGATCCGTTCGATATTCAGTGACCCAACTGCCGGATGATTTGGCTAAGGCCCAGTAACATTTCATTGCCCCTACAAGCTAATCAGCTTACATCACTCCACTTAGAATGTTGTTATGACAGCTAAACCAGACCGTGATCAGGATTGATGTGTGTAATCCGAAAGAAACTATATTCCTGTGTCCGTCATTGATCGGAACGACTCTCGTCTGTGCCTAAAAGTGGGATAAGCACATTTAAGACCACAGCTAGCCCTATAATATGTACCCAGAGACCTTCGATGACGGAAGACCAAGTATTTATTACGTTACGGCTAGGATATGTTCGGACGTCTGGGGAGGTATTAAATAGACATTGTTTCCTCCGACAATCCCTTTTAAATCTGATTGAACCTTTTAGTCTAACAACACATAAATCACTGTAATATGGATTTAGTTCATTAGTGTCATATCGACTGTAGAACTTAATGCAACACCGAGGTCGAAAGAAAGCATAGCGGAGTATCTGAACATCACATTCATACCTTCAAGGTGATGAATGTCCAACCGTTCTACAAGAAGCAGCCTACGCAGACCCACATTCCAGAGCACTAGTATGGTTAAGAAGCTTACATATCTGTTGAGGCAAACCTTTAAATTACAAATAAGATGAATGTCATATGCCTGGAAATCTACCACTCTATAGAATAGAAAATCCTACCATACATTACAAGATCCACAGCTTTCTCTCGACTAAAATGAACTTGTAATAAGGTCTACCACTCAAAGATTATATAACTTACTTGGATGAAGTTTGTGAATAGTTTATAGGTTGCATTGGTGTCTGTCGGAGTACTACTGGAAACCAAGGAGCACTGGACGATACATCTCTGTATCATAATTATGTAGTGATTCTATTTTATAAAATAGTACTGCCTGTCAACCAAACAGTAAAGAAAACCTACCAATGGAAATTTATTAATTCCAGAATGGACATTTAAAATGTCTCACTGCATTAAAAACAACAGGTCTTCAATAAGACACACTATATTATGCTATTAGAGAGATTTAGGCAGTGAACATGCTCCTAAGATGAATTACATCACTAGTCATTGTTTTAAATGTTCTTTGGCTATTACCACTATCATTACTATCCCCATTGCAAAAAACACAACTTATACACAAATTATTGATCTAAAACTACTAATACAATAGTCATACTTATTGCTTTCTGTATTGATTAGTTACTTAGTTAATATAACTTGCTAACGAGTTAACAACTATTAAATGACAGAAAAACGAAATGTTTACAATATAAGAGCTAAAACTACTAGTTGCTTAGCAACCATATTCTTTATCGAAGAGATTAAGAGAAACACCTTATGGAGTGATTAGGAAACAATTATCTACTAAAAGGAGGATTTAATTATGTTCATAAGAAATCGAAACAAATTTTCTTTCTGATACCAAGGTTTTGGTTAATTGCATAGATATACTACAGATATAACATATTTTGTATTGACTAGAAATGTCATATTATTGCGAATAAGTTACTTTTTTAGTGTGTTACTACAGTTACATTATAGGCGACAAGTAGTATTTCTTTCTTCCTTTTTATACATTGGGCTGTATAGTGTTCTAAATCCAATATTCGACATAAAACAACTGACTGCTAATGAATTATCGGTAATTAAAATTGTTACATTTAAACAACATCGTTTTGTCCTATACATCAATAAAATACTTGGATTTTACATTGAGCTTATCGGACAGTGGTATAAAAACCATTTATATTATTAATTTTCTACTAGTGGATCCTCCATGTTCCTGACCTACTTATTTGTTAACAGACATATTACAAAGTCCATGACTCCGCCAGTGAATTAATGTAGTTTTTCCTTTCAAGACGGTAGTTAAGAGAACTTATTCTTTCCGTTGGACTCGGACGTGAATAACTGTCAGTGAGCAAAGTTAACCATTAAGGCACTTGGAGTGCCTTTACTAACGGATTCAAACTAGGTTAGAGTTTTCGCCCAACTGAGTCACAAGTAACGCGAATCAGTCAATCCCAGACAAGATTCTTGTTTTCATGCTTGAACTTCTCCAACCACCAGGGTTGATGAGGCTTTCAAGATAAATGAAGTTAACGTATTTAATCCTCCTACTCTCTATGACTAAGTTACGTGTTGACCCATAACTATCCGGAAGCAACATAACATATTTAGAAAAGGAGAGACACATCCCAACCACATTTTTATTATTAGTGGTGTACTTTGTTAGTGACTTTATCAAACAAAATTATGCTACATGTGTATTTTAAGTAAACAAGTGCACCTTCTAGATCAATTTCTGAAAAGTTAAACCTAGAAAGCGTTACCTTTAAAAACTGTCTATAAGGAAATTTAAAAAAAAAAACAATAAAATGGGAGTATTGACCTTTGATCAATAAATTTCAAAGTGTACGATTTTTCCAGCGTTACTATAGGAATCCAAAACCCCAACATGCTAGATGAGTTAGCGTTCGTGTATAAACAAGTATAAAAGTAAACAAAATGGATAAATGACAATCTGACCGTTATTACCAATTTGATAAAAAATCGATTAGCATAAACAGGGAAATTAGGGAAAAATTAGTCATTAGCAATAATAACACTAAATATCATTCCAAGAGAAGTAATAATGATGAAAGCATAAAAAACAAGTATCCTTAACAAAATTATCACAGGTAATAGAATTGAAGTATGCGTAACACAATCAACGAGCATTATATATTTTGTATACTGAGGATTGTAGGAGAAAGAAATCTAGTTTTTTCTCAAATTTCAATCAACTTAATTTATGATAACAACAAACTTTGGAAAAGACCGAAAGAAACTTATATACCGAATTAGGCAAATTTTCTTGCATTGTTTTACAAACTGATGGTCATAAAATAAGATAGCGAGGACAAGTGATAGGCATCACTGTTAAGTTATGTATATTGAGGAAGAACGTTTTCTAAATACTGTTTAGTTTGTTTGTATACATATAGTCTTAAGGGTTATACGCATTCACGATGTGTATTTTTCGATATTGTATTATTGGCAGTCATTTGAGTTGTTAACGAACATGCAATAGGTTGACAAGGACTGATTAATGAAGGATTTATTAACATGTCTGGTTGGAATACACTAGCATATGAACGCTTTAAAAATGTTAAATATGCCTGTAAACTTCGATTCGTTGCATCAGCTTGATTCAATTGAGCTCTCAAATCATTTAAACGTATTTCAGTACGATTTTCTATTTGTTTTTTTTCGTTCTGAGCTTCACATAATTCTCTTCTTAGTTCTTGAATTAATTCATTATTTGTTGTGCCTGTTATATTTTGATCTTTTAATAAGCCTATATTCTGAATACAAATAGAGTGGAATTTAGCAAAACAAGAAACTGTAAATGAATTAATTTTGAAATCATTCGGAAAATATCCATAATAACAATAAAATCTGACCTGATTAATAGAAAGTGAGTAATGGGTGAATAGTCAGAAAAACTCAACATTCAAATATTAGGACACAGAATCGAACCCGTTCTCCGAGTTTTGTCTGGGAAGGCGGTTAGGATCACTTACACTCACTTAAGCCATTTGCTTCAAAACCCAGTAAGTACAGTTACTTGCAAGTGATAAATGAGTTATATCATTGTTAATTTGAAGAACTATTGAATAAGTATGAGATAACACAGAATTATTTTTGTATTGTCTACTGTTTAATAATCAGTTTTAATCTACTTATCAATACCTCTCGTCTTTTGGCAATTCTAATGATAATTCCACAATATCAGTATCAAGTACCTTTCACTACTACTAACCTGATAGTTTTTATGTTATCCACCTAGTCAATCCAGCCTAGAAGTTTTATCTTTTAAAGTATATTTACTGAGTAACTTAATATATGATTGTTTGAGACCTACCGATAGTAGTGGTTCAAGATTTGAATGTACAACCTGTTCATTAACATTCATCTGGATGGAACACAATGCAATAGTTTGTTTTTCTTACTTACTAAGCCAAATAAGCTTGGTCAATTTAATTCAAAAATTTTTTTTCAATAGTTGAGATCATGAGTCAATTGAAGCTGGACCACCATGGAAAACGTGAAAGCACTGGACGACCGTTTCGTCCTAATGTGAGATTCGTGATCCCAACTATTGAAATTACTATAATATCCGGAAAACCCCTTCTGATATTAATCAAAATTATTTGTTAATAAAGTAATAGCTCGTAATTTGTATGTGCTAAAATTTAATTTTTATTTGATAGCACAAAACATTATTTTCTGCTTATAATTAGTGTAATTCACTGTTTTTTGGAGTTAACCAAATACAACCAAATGAGCTACATTTTGGAATTTTATTGCATATTATCAGGGTTTTGATTGCTCTTTAGCATTACTGGTGATCGCACAATGTATGCGACTTTTAGTTTCAAACACAAACCTGCATCTATACTTCTTTATAGTGAAATTCATATTATCTTTCTTTGTATAACAGTGAATTATTCACAGAGGAAATTCAAAAATCAAACAAAAACCACTTACAGAACCTCCATTTAATTGACTGTTTTGACCAGAATAATCCTCATGATCCAAAAGCAATTGTTGGTCGCATTCTCCTACTTTGGATGATTGTTTTATATTGACCGGAGTGCTGGCCACATAGTCGCCTTTCTGGGATTCCTTTGATTGTAACGCATCCTCTAGAATACGATTACGGTGCTCTGCTTCAAGCAATCTTTGTTCTACATCATCCAACTGAATCTGACTACGCTCTCTGTCAGATTCTGTTTTCTGTAAAATATTAATATCTCATCAGATTATAAAAAAACACAGAAGCAAGAGTAGATTATAAAGTGACGGCTCGCAGAGGGCGTCGGTACACCCAAATTTTTTTAATTATTGTTATCTATCAACAAAGTGTATCTGCGAACACAAGTCACACTATTCATCGGCAAAGTTAGACATATTTGTCCTCATTCTGCTGAAGAGAAGCTTTATTCTCAAACTCTACAGCTTAGAGATATGTCGAGTAGTTTTTCTGATTCCATAAAAAATGTAGACCAACGTAAATAATTCGATCCAAATGTTTTGATTTACAAGAACGGGTCAAACTTGCGTTAGTGTCAAATTGCATACAGTATCAGTTAACCATCTGAACCCTAGTGTGGTTGAAGTCCATAACATACCACTATCTGAAGGGCAAGATAGAAAATTAGAAAATAAATGTAGTGAATCCGAGGGTAACTAGAAAAAGCTCCATGAACAGACAATTAGTCAACTTCTATTATAACAAATTATTCTGTAGAAAAAAAAAACAGTCTGAGTGGATTTCCTCCTAAACCATATAATTATCAATATTCAGTTGAATCGACATTACGAAAACACCTTATGCGTTTTATAATGGTTGGACAGAATCCGTTTTAGATCTAATTACGGGAATATGAATGTTACACGCATTTAAGAAGGTATCTTTCGTGAGACGGCTGACAATAATCTGTCAACAAAACCCAAACTAGAAGAAACGAAGATATAGTAATCATGTGATATGGATTATTACCATCACTGAGTTTAGTTCTGAAGTATATTGAATGAAGTCTCCGACCATTTTCCATGGACAATTACAAGAGCTATTGTTAGCGGGAAATAAACCGGATTAAGGCACGTTATGTGCATGGTCGTAACGGCGCACGTTGGTTGGCTAATTCTAAACCAATCAGCTCTGGCAGATTATTGGAGAAGCATCTAGAAGTTTCTTATGCATATACAATAAATAAATGAACGTTTTCTAACAACTGATTGCTGTTCACCTACCCTTGTTATTTTGAATACAATTTCGTTTCTGTTCAACGTGTTCTGATTTTGGGGTCTTGTCGAGTATCATTGTATAAGAATACTAAGCAATAGAAGTGGCTGGGTCGTTTATTAGCAAAACAATTCTAACAGTTATAATCAACAATGTTAAACTGCATCACTTGTTAGTAGCATTTCGACTTTATGAAATCATGGTTCTACTCAGTTATTTTGCTGTTCTTTTTACTCTACCATAATTTAGTTAGCAGTCTATATGGTGAGAAAAATTCTAATCAATGACTTTCGTATAACAATGTAATACTCAATGATTATTATTTGATAAATTAAACACTAAATATGACAAAACCAAATTACTTTTAATCGTTCATTCAACGTATGTAGTCGACTAGCCTGCATTGCAGCATCTCCGTGATAATCATTTAGTAAAGCTTCACAAGTGGACAAACTAGTACGCAGATGCTGTAGTTCTTCTTCAGCTGCATGTAGACGTTGTTCGCATTTCGACGCTACTTCACGTAATCGGAGATTTTCCTTTTTAATAGATAAGAAAAAAGTTATTGATTGATTTAAACCCCAATAAGGAAATATAAAAATCCCTTCACGACAGTATATAGAAAGGCAATACATGGAATGCTAAGACCTGCAGTGTCTAATACTGTGTCAAGGCCAAACGGGTTATTATGGCTTTCAGATAAATCAGTCTATTCATTTCTCTTTAGTCACATTTTGACCTTGTCAATTATTCCCTTATGAATTAGACTGTTTTGCATGAGTGTTGTATGTGTATCGTTTACCCTATTCATCACATATCTTCTGTCTGGCTACAAATATTGAGTCATGCCTCATAAAATGAAAGAACACGAGACAATTGTCTCGGGTCGGAATACGATTACAAGACCACCAAGATCATTTTTATCGTATTTGCGACTGTTCAGACCCTGAGTTAGTATCCCTGCGTACAAACTAGGATCAGTGAATCTCCGAGGAGGAAGAACACGACATGCCAGCAACAACACATATATTGCAAAAATAGAACAACGCGGTTCTGTAGCAAAAAGGGAAAGCTGATTTATAAAATAGTCTCATAAATCATTTTTCAAGGCCAGTTTACTCAAGGCTTTTTTTTCTAGCACACCCACCCTTTGTCGCCCTACAATAAAAAACAGATGGGTTTTAAGCGTTCTTTGAGTCCGAACGTTTCAGGCAGGGCTACTTCGTTTACTACCCTACATATGTGTCGTATGCAGTATAAGTTATATTGCTATGTAGAGATGAAGGTCTCATATGAGGCTGGAGGTTCGCCACTGATATTGTAGCAAGTTTTCCTAACCGTTAATGCTCAAAATTGGTTTGCTGGTTAACCGATTTTATTCATACTGGTGGTCGCTTTTCAGTGTTCTCAAGGGCCATTGTAAGGCATGTCGCCATTGCTAATATTAATGAGTTTGACTATCGTGTAAGCGGAGTAGGTCAACTTTGGCCTGTTCATGCTGTGCATAATTGATTTACGCGATCATTGATCGGAAGAATTAAACATGTGATGTGAATGTGTATATGAATGGTACGAATAGTCTACCAGGGTGCTTGGTACCTGTGTGGTTGCGCCACAGAATTGATCTGTACTATTTAGATTGTAGCGTTAAAGCGTATATGGTGTCTGGCTCTCCTGGAAACGAGACTGAAACGTACTGTTTAGGTTGTCACGTGAAAGTCTGGATGGTGTCCGGTTCTCCTGAAAACCAATGTAAAATTACCCTGACCCACAATGGCATATTATATAACTAATAACTGGTTTGTATGAGTTTGTTTTTAGATCTCTCCTGCCTTCAAATAAACGCCGATGACATGTGTTACACATCATATTCATACGTTCATCCAAATCGGAGCCACTAAAAAACGAACTAAATGAGTAGAGAAATAAACAAACGAGCAATGAATCTGTCTAGAGTTGTGGGATACTAAGGATATATAGAAGAATAAAAAATACGATCTCGCATTACTACGGCTAAGTTTAAACTATTAATTTCTCACAACTTAAACAAATAATCAGTGTTTTTGTGTATTGGTGTCATTCGTTGACTTGACCAACTTTTATCTTTCACAAACTATGTCACAGATTCTGATAAGAAAGACCCGTGTTCAATATGTATGATATAAAATGAAGGCATGATTCTAACTGCTTTACGGCTTTTAGTACTCAACGTCTTCTTGTGACTCTGATGATGATCACCTTAATAAGAAAAAAAGTATCTAAATATTGCTAGAATTTCAATCCTATCACCAAAAAATATTGAAAATCTTAATAAATAATTAACTACATCAAAATAATACCTAGTTGCCTTTCTGATATTTAACTATTTACGTGCTTGTACCAGATAATAGGCCACAGCTGTTATACGGAGGTTGATGTACTATTTTATTTGGCTGTCTGGACACCACCAGATAGTGGGGATTTAAACCAGCAACCTATTTAAGTGAAAGCTGACTGAGAATACACCAGTGAGTCACTGCTTCACAATCGTATGATAATAAAATTAAATATAAGTATTAGCACGTCATATAAACTTGTCTTACTCACCTCTCTTAGACTCTTATCGCCATTCACATACATAGATTTATTTGAATCCACCATTCCACCATCATGCATAATGCCTACATCATTTAACTGGCGCTCCTTGCTACGGCCTCTAGATCTAAGAGCACAGTTTTCCAATTCCGTCTGTGAATACAGGATATATCATGAAGGATAGTAAGTGCTAGAGCTTAAATTTATGAATATATACAAGTTGATAGGTTGTGACAGGTATTCAAACCTACAACTACTGACCACTCAAAGAAGATTGGAATTAAAATAAGTTAAAGCTATCACATTACACTCCGTAACACTTATTGAACGTTTTGCCATCCAAGAAAATTAAGTTTATCTTATAAATCCTGAAAAAATTAAACCAGTTATTAATTCCAGTTCCAGATGTAATGTTATGAGCAACGAAAACTGAGAGTTTTCTTTGAAACGAAGGAAAACGTAGAATTGGCTATTAGATGACCGGTTTGCTAGTTGAGTTGTACCAGAAAAAGGTGTCATACAACATACGCATTCGGAGACTGATATGTCGGATGTGATTGACCAACAAGTGAAGGTGGACACATCAGAACATATAAGGCATATCGAGACGATATTTATTTATTTAAACACATAAATATTGGTACAAAGGAGCACCAGATACATATGCGCTATACAAATCTCATTCGATTTGCTTGAGGGCTGTGACACTGCCCAGGTGCCCAAACCGAAGCAGGTGGTTTTTTTTAGGGGGCCACACCTCGAGCCTTCGACCTAAAGGTCCGATCAACAAGGCAGTGGAGCATCGTAAGGAGATGCAGTCCCATGGTAGCTGGTGACCAACAATTAGTTCATACGCCATATGTTCCCTCAGGATACTAGAGTCCATGTGCACCATTGGTTTAGAATGAGGGTTTTCCAACGCCCCTAGATGGACTCGCCTTGCCCACCAACCCGGTTAAGGCGCCGGACATTCGCTTTTCGTCCTCTCAATTTCGTAAACAACACCCTCGCCACGAGAAGGCAGTGAGTAGGACTTCCCTGGCAGAGTCTATATATTCGCTGGCCATGTGAGAGCATTTCGACAGGGAGAGCGGACTCTCCCCACTCTCGACCGTACCAGGGCAATTGGGGGACATAATATTGTAAATTCGTTCCACTATGTATTCCAATGTATTCTATTCTGTATTCCACGCTGTGTAACATCTTACAAATTACGTTAATAAACGGTTATTTTAGCTGGTTCTGAATCTGTGTTCGAAATTGTACATAACGTGATTTCATTTGGTTATCTAATGATCTAGAGTGCTATGTGATATCGTGATCGAGCATGTCATGTTTGTCAAGTCGTGTTATCTATCATCGAATGTATGGATGTGAAGCTCAGTCTTTTTACTGTTATATCAAAGACATTCAAAAATCTAGTGCTTTGTGAAGCTTAATAATGAAGCGTATTTGCAGTTAAACGAGAAACGTATTTCAAGCTTGCATCGATCAACACTGATAATCATCTTGCTTATTACCTAATGAATAATTTCTATAAAATGCTCAGTAGTTGTACATAAACTTACGATACAAAGGAACTTTACGTTTGATAATACAACAATTTACACGAAACCTAAGTGAAAGACAGCCTATGGATTCTGCCCATAAATGTAAGATAAGCTGTTAAGTGAGTTTTAATCATTTTAATGCGCAATTCAGTTTCAAGACCATAAAACCAAATCAATATTTCCAATAATGAAAACTGAGGTGTAATAACAGCGAGGTCCGAAGATCATGGGTTAGGTCTCTGATAGGCATCGTGAGTACGTCGTACTAAAAAGAAACGATTGTTTATTTTTTCCTAGTTTTCGTTGATTTTCGAGTTATCTTCAGAGTGACTTCTTTAAATCGTATCACGATAAATAAACTATTGACACCCTTGGTTTCATACAAAGAGATAAAAACTTTTAAGTTGAGTCCTAGTGATATGTTTACGAAAAAACATAAGTATGCAAACAACTCATTTTGAAAAATTCACTATCTCTTGCCTGAAAACCAGCTATAATGGACTCTTGAGTAGCAAGTTTGTGGGAAATTTCACGATATGCTTCTTCAGCTTCATCTGCACGACGTTTTTGTGACTTAGCAGCTCGTTTCAATGCTTCTTTTGTTTCTCGCATACGTTCTAAACTGACTTCAGCTGTTTCTAGACGAGCTTGATTCTGTGCTTGTTGTTCTGCTAGACGAGTTTCCAAATTACGTACTTGAACAGACAAACTAAAACAATGACAAAATACAAGTGTGTAACGGCTAAATCGTAAAAAAGGTTTTGCTTGGAAGCTAATTAGAATTTAAGAATACGATATGATTTACAGGTCTACACATAATTAGATTTTGAAATATTAAGATAGAGCTTGTGTAATTAATCTTGAGATAAAGAAAATTTGAAGTTCAGGTGGATGATTTTGGTGAAGTTTTCATCATTATTCTTAACGACGTCATCAGCAAAAACGTCAATCTGAAGTTTGTGCCGAATCAATCGTATTTTTCCCATAGCTCAATAAATCAAACACTAAATTATGATACTGAAATGAGTCTTAGAGCTCAGTTAAAATTTATTCTCAAACAGCATTGTCTTGTTAACTGTGTCGGACGTATTTAATTGGGTTTTAACAAGTAAGATTTAATTGTTAAAGCAATTACATGTAATTAAAAATGTGACCGCCCAAAGTCAGATACTTTTCTTGAGTTTAAGGTTTGGTTCTCCAACGTTCTTTTGCGAAGATAAACATCAAAGATGTTATGTTGCAACGAGGTTTACGACCGCATGTTTGACACAAAAAAACAATGAAAAGATTACAGCTTGGTAAATACCATAAGTGTCGTGGATAGCACACATGAAACAATAAAATAGAAACCAGGATCAATCATGAACAGATAATAAAAAAACTAACCGGCTGCATTCTGATTCACGTTGACGTAGTTGACGTTGCAAGTGGTTTTTAACAGACTCCATGGATTCATGTACTGTATTGAATTTTAAACTTTCATTTTGTTGTTCATTCAATTGTTTTCGAGCTAATTCCAAATCAACTTCTAAATAGCCAAAAGAGGAAAGCGTATTAAAACAAACAATAGCGACCTAGTATACTACATACACTTTTTATTATTTCTTTATTTAAACACATAAATATTGGTACAAAGGGGCACCAAATATATATGCGCTATACAAATCTCATTTCATTTGTGTGAGGGCTGTGATACTGCCCAGGTGCCCAAACCGAAGCAGGTGGTTTTCTTAGGGGGCCACACCTCGAGCCTTCGACCTAAAGGTCCGATCAACAAGGCAGTGGAGCATCGTAAGAAGATGCAGTCTCATGGTAGCTGGTGACCAACGATTGATTCATACGCCATTTGTTCCCTCAGGATACTAGAGCACTTGTGCACCATTAGTTTAGAATGAGGGTTTTCCAACGCCCCTAAGTGGACTCACCTTGCCCACCAACCCGGTTAAGGCGCCGGACATTCGCTTTTCGTCCTCTCAATTTTGCAAACAACACCCCCAGTACGAGAAGGTAGTGAGTAAGGCTTCCCTGACAGAGGCTGTATATGCGTGGCCGTGTGAGAGGATTTTGAGAGAGGGCGAGCTCTCCCCTCTCAGCCGTATCAGGGCATTTGGGGGCACAGTTTTCACTAAATTATAAATCAGATTCTTATTGAATGAGGAGATTAACTACATTACTAATTTATCCATGATAAAGCAGTCAGCATTTACGAAACTCAATATGCGATAATTTGTAGTGTCTAACACCAGGTCAAGGCCACACGGGTTATTATGGCTTTCAGATAAATCAGTCTATTCATTTCTCTTTAGTCACATTTTGACCTTGTCAATTATTCCCTTATGAATTAGACTGTTTTGCGTGAGTGTTGTATGTGTATCGTTTACCCTATTCATCACATATCTTCTGTCTAGCTACAAATATTGAGTCACGCCTCATAAAACTGGGAGTTGGCACACTTGCCTTCTGCACTTCACTTTTCTACTTCTCATTCCTAATGTATGTCTGAAGAAACGACCGCCTAAAATAAATTCATTCGACGCAATCCGTATTTGGCTTCTCATAACCGCCGTCATATAAACAAGTCTAGTCTAGGTGTATTATACGGAATGAAATGGGAGATTTATATTGATGTCATATTCTAAGGTTTTTTCAAATCGGATTCAGATCAGACCACTAAAAATTTGAGAGAATTAAAATACAATTCACTGCAATGCTTATTAATATGGGTAACTAACTTTCTCACATCTAATATGGGTGACTCAGTGGATGAATGTAACTCATTTAAGTATTTGACTACGAGGCAAACTTTTACGTGACGACTCTAGCTCCTCGACCCGAAGTAGGTAGTAGAATGTTCAGATGTACAACATACCGGTTGAAAGGCGAATCCGTTAAAGCTAATGACCGACTGTTACACATAGTGGTTTGACAGTAACGTGTTCACTGAAAGGAATGAAGGTTTAGAGTTTGATTCGGAGTGAAGTTGTGAGTATATACTACTAGGAATTTACGGATTAGACAAGACATCTATTTATGTTTCCCTAATTTTGTTCGGCAGATAATTACACTTCATGATTAAAACTACATTTGAATAGTGTGCTTATATAATAAGTGATACATGGAACCTACCCATTCGGCCCAGTTTCTCTGTCAAATGTCGAACTTCAGAGGTTAAAGTGGCTTCACGGTTTTGCGTCTGAGCTAAGCGATTATTTAAAATTTGATCTTGTTGTTGTTGAATACTTGAAGCCCAGCGACATAACTCTCGTCCTGCACACCCAGCTACTTCAGCATGTAATAATAACTCATCCCGTGGTTGAACAAGACGTGACATATCATGTGAGTCAACACATCTTCCTTCATATGCTACCTAAGATGAAGAATACCATAATCACAGGAGAATCATTAGCCAAATCTAATAAATATAAGAAATGAAACCCTGTGAAAACCAGGATTAATGTATGTTCCTGTGATACTTTTCAGTTGAAATAAAGATTTTGAGGCGCAAAACTAATCTTTGTGGTAAACGACAATCCATGTAAAGGTCAACAGTATGTGGAGGCTGTATGAGAGGATTTCGAGAGGGGGCGGACCCTCCCCACTCTCGGTCGTACCAGGGCATTTGGGGAGTATTCACACTGAATCTTTGTTTCTGAAAATAGCACTGTAATGAGCCAATCATTATTCATTTCTAAATTTATTAAGTTTTAAGTGCAAAAGTTCCATTCAACTTTATATTTGTAAGTGATATCAGTTTGTAAAGGTAAAAATTTTTCAAAGACATTTAATCTTACCTGTTCTAGACAATCTACTATATTTCTTGCTGATTTCGCAATATGATTAGTCGCAGTATCCAAGTCTCTAATCCATTCATCTAAAACCACAGTTGCCAACAATGATCCATCACTTAGTCTGTCTTCAAAACCCTTGTTCTTTCCTGCGATATAGGTAGGCTTAATTGTTTCCTTATGCTTCACAGAACTATATGGTTGCTCTTGCATCGAAATAGTATCATGGGAACTAAATTGTTTAAAGTGCTGGTCTTGTGGCTCTTTATCAGATTCCACATCATTTAACTGTATAATATCCTAAATGTAAACAATCAAATATGAATAAGAAAAATATATATTTAATTATCTATATATTTGATATAGAATTAGAAAATTGAACAAAACTACTTTTAGAACATGACTGATATCATATTTTAAAAAAGAAACCACAAGTGTTAAGCATACAGAACCACGGCCTACCTTAGCTCGCAATGTTTGGCGGTGTAGGAGTAGGTCGGAAGAAAACTAGGTGAGGAAACACCAAACGCGGAATCAGTCCATAAATCCATCGAATGTCGGACCGGGTCATGTTCGTATGCTCCAACCGGTTAGGATCCGCGCGATTATTCTAACCAATGGCTAGAGGCTTTGGGTTACCTAACTCAGAATCGGTCTCAATCACTCTCCCCATTCTTGTTTAACTTTGTCGTTGACATGCTTTTAGAGATAACACTTTCATCATCTCAATCTCCAGGAGTTGAACATTTACCAGGAGGCTCACTTGTAGACTTAGAATACGATGACGACATAGTTTTATTTGGCGAAGACGCTGACAAAATGCAGTCTTCTGACCACTATAAGCAACAATGCAGGCAAGTTCGGGATGCGATTCTCTCCCTCGAAGTGCAGTGTTACTTCAGGATTCGGTTGCATCGACACCTGAACTAATGGTAGGGAGTGAAGTAGTTGAGCGTGTCGACCGCTTCACTTATCTTGGGAGTCTCATCAGCCCTTGTGGTCTGGTGTGTGACGAAATCTCAGCACGGATACAGAAGGCTCGTCTAGCTTTCGCCAACTTGCGTCATTTATGGCGTAGGCGAGATATCCGTCTAGCAACCAAAGGACGGGTTTACTGTGCAGCAGTTCGTTCCGTCCTACTTCATGGCAGTGAAACATGGCCGATAAGAGTAGAGAACACCCGTAGGCTACTAGTATTCGATCGTAGGTGTCTTCGAAGCATTACTCGTATATCCTGGGACCATCGAGTAAGTGATGCAGTTGTTAGGAAACGGGTGCTAGGTAATGATGGCAAATCCATTGATGAAGTAGCGAAACTTCATCAGTTGAGATGGCTGGGACACGTGTTACGTATGCCCAACCACCGACTGCTCCGACGTGCAATGTTCCATGGTGTAGGATTAAGTTGGAAGAAAGCTAGGGGCGGTCAGACGAAAATGTGGCAAAAATCCATGAAGTCACTAACAATTGGACTGGGCCATGTTGGTAGGTGTAGACTACCTGGTTGGGATCTGTGAGATGATAGCACTCGATGGTTAGAGACCTAGAATGATATGGCTCAAAATCGTTTGCAATGGCGAAGGTGCATCCACTCTTTGTGTTCTACCGAATTCTAACCTTTTGAATTCTTCATGTCCCTATCCTTTTTCTCTTTCCAAATTTATTTTACTGGATTATACTCCTTCAATAACATCTTCAAACCCTAATCTTTCACATGATGATTATACTCTTACTACTTCTACCAATATAGGATTTTAATCGACAGCTTCATCTCTGTGCTAATTTGGTATGGCAACTCGAACTGATGTACGTACGTACGAAGTTCTACGTTGTGACTGACTGACTGACTCAATCGTGAAGATGCATTAACCATTCATCCTTTCTTAGATCCTGAGTTTTGAAGTTGCTATACATTTCATTCCTTAAATTCATTCTTCCTTCTGGAATCATGTTGTCTATGACTAATAATTTTTGTTCCTACTTGCATTTACTATTTCTGCTACTCTGGTTATCAGCTACAATGTAGGATCAGGCACATATATGCATCGGTTCAAGTTGCCATACCTCGTTAGCACAATATGATGTGGTGTGTGAACCTAGACCGATGAACATTGTGCTATATCCTAAGTTACGTAAGTGACTGAAAATAAAACTCTTGGAAACCAAGGAGAATTACCCAGCAGTGCGTTCTCAGGTCAAAAACATTTTATTTCCCATTCTCTATCTGTCAACAATAATTATAGGATATTCAAGTCTATTGGAGAGCATATCTATTTGATATTTCGACTAATATCCCTGACTAATAAAGCTCAAATCCAAACCAGTCAAGTACTCAAAATCACCAACCTCAAATACAGGGGCTTTTGAAACACGTAACAAATATGACAGAGTTTATTTAAGCAATAGCTTTTGGAAAGAAGTTTTAAGGGAATACTTTACACATAAACATTTAGTTCACCAGGCAAAATAAGTTTATGAGTAACAATGTGATGGTTTAGTCTGACAAAATAGATATGTTAAAAAATAAACGGATTCTTCGGAAATAAACAGAGAGCATAAACCAATTATTCAAAGTATTTGCTTCAGAGAGTACTGTCAGGTTTTGCTTCTGTCACATCTATTTTTCAAGTTCATATTGTGGAAATATTACAACCGAAGATTATTTCTGCTTGCTTCAAGAGGTAAATTCATGAACCAGAACACTACATATCAGTAAACAATGTTAATGATATATATGATATCCAAACTGAACGTCTTAACTCACCTTGTGTACATCACTAACAGATTCCACAGAACGTGATCGGGGTTTCCTTTCATTAGACTTCATTCTTACGCGACGTGTCGGGTCGTATACGTATCGCCCTGTAAATATTTTAAATAGATCAGTATCTATCGTTTGCCAAGAAAAATATGCCCAAGTATTGAATGAAATGTACACCGCACGATCCATTAACCAGAGCAATTACATGAAATGTACGTTATTTGCCATAGTAGGAGATAATATCATACTACTTTACACCTAAGCCGTGTTATCCAGCTAATGAGGCAAGTGTGTAGTTTTACAATGGTCAGTTAAAACCCACTATCAAAGTTATAGAAAAAGTATGGAATCGATAGTCACAGACCTTGATTCCAAAATAAGTCACACCGTTGAAAACGTCACTTTTCATCTTCTTCTGAAGTCCGAACATTTTGTTAATCGTAATTTTGATATAATTTTTGTATTTTTTCATCATATCTTTATTCTGTTAATCTTTTCTGAGTGAGCTTTTGAAACAATCCGTATTAGTAGAAGCTCTATTTTTGCATCTGTAAGCCATATTTTTTTTAAAAACTAATGATATAAACTAATTTGTTGATCCATAGTTAGTGAAGTGAGATCTTAGCACCAACCTATTGTTGGAAGTAAGGTATCTAGAACAGTAAGCCTACTATTGTTTAGTTGATAAACAATCATTTTGTATAGTCATTATGACACTAATACCAGACAGAATATACCCCACAGTTTCCCAAACTACTGAGACGAAGAACCATGACATAAGCTTGCTAGTTTTGAACATCTCTTTTAACACATAACGAACACGATTTGGTTGGATAAATACACACATAAGCTGGCAACATCCCACATTTATTTAAGGTGACGAACATTAACCAACATTACGGATATAAAAACTAAGAAATAATTGTGTTATGTTCAGGTTTCTCCTGATACAAGTCAATTGAACCAAGTCTTGACTACCCCAAACTCCGTCAATAGTCTTTAAGGTTATTGCTGGTCCAAGACCGGGGAATGGAGAATGGCTGCGCGTAAAGTTAATAGCCATAGCTCACACAAAAGAACATGTCTACAAAGCGCTAACCAGAGTAAACCAAACAATTTTTTTAAACTCTAACCTGGGAATTGAAGGCTCTTTACAAATAAGTTAGGAAGCCTCATTATGAAAGCCTATATTCTTCGAAAGCCATTAAGCTGATACCTCTTCTGACAATCAGAGCAACAATCAATGTAAGTACATAGAATTCCCGGGCAGTGTGGAGGACCGAAAGGGTCGCTTTAATAACCAGTAAAGTGAGAAAATACGACTGGCAGTGTTTGGAATAAGTGAAACCTACTGGACACAATCTAGACAAAAAGAATAACTACAGAAGAGCTGTTTATGACTTTGCAAATTCAGTAGATGCCCAACCTCGAAAACAACAGGATGGCTTTAGAATGCGTCAATCATGTATCGAACAAATCGTGACAATGTTGATCATTGTTGAACCATAAATTAAAAGCAACTCATCACTATACATCGACTTCCTTGATTAGGAGAAAGCAATCGACATCGCAGATTGAAAACCCCCGCAAAATCTCCCTCGATATTTCTAAGTAGCTGAAAATATTGTTGGTATTATATCGAACTCCCACAGTCAAGTAAATCGCGAAGTCCTGTATGGAAGAAGGCTCACGGATGCACTTCGAGTCAAGACCGATGCTTATTCGAACGAGGCAACTACGACAACAGTAGTTTTGAAAAAAAACTAATGGTAGGGCCAGTGTTTTAAATTACGAAACATCTACGTTAATATGAAGATAGAGGTGGGTAAACAGTTATAAAGGCAGTAAAACTGAACTGCACTGATTAGCTTGAACAATCCTTCAAATAACCCTGACTAATTCTTAACTCATTCGGCCAACCAGATAACAGCAAATATGAAATAATGACTTATACTGATAAGACTAGAACTATGGTTTAGCGTTAGGATCAGGAGGAAGAGATTAGGATTTAGGGTTTAGATTAAGCTGCATAGTTTGGGATTTACATACAGAGTTTGAGTTCAGGCTACATATGGAATAATCGTAAACTAGTAAGCCTAAATCCTAACCCTAAGTCCCAAACTGGCGACCTACATCAGCACTCTAAATCATAGAAAACTTAGTCCTAAATCCAAACCTGAGCTTTCAGTGATGCTCTTGCCGTCAAAATGAACTACCGTGTTTTTCAAATGGACCAGTGTTTTTAAGAGTAAAATTCATTCATTCAGCAATATTTTCTCCATGAAATCATCTATTTTATCCTTGGTAGACTAAATGGTGCATTGATATGTGCACCGTGACTTTGAAGAGGTTTTCATGTTTATCACCGGTCCACCTGGAACGTTTGGTTTGGCATAAACACTACTTCTAGCACTGTGAGTGCTGTTGCCCACATTTTAATACTTTGATAGGAAACATTTGGATCTATTTACAACTAAGCAATATACGTAGTACAGTTTTAACAGCGACGCAAATTTCATGAGTGTGAGTTAAGGCGTCAAAATATAATTGCTAAGAATTCGCAGAAACTATTAGGCCAATGCGGGAATTAGAAATATAATTCAAAAAAACATCAAATGCCGTAATTCGCAAGACCTGTGTAGTGTTTTATCCCAAACACACTTGTTCGTGTTAATAATGACACACATTTTTTTAAGTGGCAAAAGTTGACTGTAACTTCAAAACAGCATTTGGCTTAGTAATAGTGAGGACCAGGTGTGTATTTCGTATCAACAGGTCTTTCAAGTTAAGAAAATGAAAGTCGTTAGTAGAAGTAACCTATCTACAAAGATCAGTCATATTATATGTATATATACAATGAAATAAAAATAATTATGTTGGGGCACATTTATTGAAAGTTACATGGAAAGAGCAATTAGAATTAGTCTACTCAAATAGGGGTAGGAATGATACTTAGCACTATTACGATGCAGCCAATATCTGTGTCGGTATGAACACTCAGTCCAAATAAATTAAAAAAAGAGTATATTTCCAAATACATATCAATCGGTAACCTGCTACCTCAACCAAGAATGTGCTATAATGTTGCGACTGAATGAGTGGAAAGATAAATAATACTTATGGCAGAAAAAAAACATTCATGCTTTATTTAATTGACATCCCAATCTCCCAATTTTGGGGAAATGACAGGAAAAACCCCGAAATTTTCATGAAATGGGGGGAATGGAATCCGACTTTGACTTCAAAAATATTGAGTAACCAGGTTAGTAACAGTAGTGTTTTTTCCACAATGTACAGTACAGATTTTTTGCAATGTTTAACTCAACAGAGATTTACCTGAACTTGTTTTTCCTGGTGGTGGGACCCATGGTGCTTGAGACTGACTAGTGTCAGGTGTTTTTGGAGTCGCCAAACCAGGCATGCGAGATACCTGTGTTTTATTATTGACATGGAGATGGATCGGTGTATCACCAGGTACATGTAAGTGAATTGGGTGTCCATTCCCAGGTTGTCGAATACATGACGAATTTTTGCCAGTATTTTTAGTCATTTTGAATACGCACTGTGCTGCCCGACAACAGGAATGAGAGTTTGACTGGACAACCGCTTAGGACTGAGAAAGTAAAACATTGGTCAAGGTCGTTTTCAGTCTTCAGTAAAAAGATAGGAGGTTTATTGACCTATATTAGTCCTTGCAGCTTGTTACACTGTGGAGGTCCGATTTCGTTTTGAATATATCAACAGAAGATGCTGATATTACGTGTGATATTACGCGTGTTTCAAAAAGGGCAGTGACTTTCATACTTGTTGTGATTATCGTTGCTTTTGTGTATTTGCTGTATCAAAAGCATTCTTGGTCTACTTTAACTTGAATTAATTCAGTTAAGGTTTGAAATTTTATTGAAAACTTTGTCTCGTGGTTCCTTTTTTTGCATATACTCTGACGCTTGTGCTATTATTGTGATCATATTGTTTTTTAAACCTAATCTGATTACAATGGTTGGTAGTTCATTCAAATGTGGACAGCCGAACTGTTTATTCCCCGTAGATGAAGGGATGCAGTGCGATGAATGCAAAAAATGGTACCACAAGATGTGTACCCGTCTCAGTCCAGCTGCATACAAAAGATGTTCTAAGCCTAACTCGCACTGGCTTAGTATGTTCTGCTGTACTAACAAGACGACATTAATTCAAGAGGCTATGAGCCTATTGGCTCTAGCCCGTAAAAAGAAAGATAGTGGGTGCGCTAGTAACGCAAGCACTGACAGTGAAGACTGTGTCAGTGTAGTAAGTGCTCTTACAAAACGCGCTGAACAACCTACTCTAATTAATGACAAAGTGAAACTTCCGTTACAACAAACGAGGAGTAAATCACCACATGGTATTGACATGAGTAATCATGTATCTTTAGTAGAAATTGAGGACCCGGATAAAACCGTCACCGTCCCCAATAGTCCCAATGCAGCTGTACTGAATGACCAAAAATGGACCGCAGTAAAGAGGAAAAGAAAAGGAAAAAAAGCTAATGATAAAGCGCACTTGGTTGACAAGCCATTGAGAAACTCACAGTCTGAGTCACTCAATGCATTATCACCACCTCCTTTCCTGCATCTATGTCTATCACTTCTTAAACAATGATATCCGGATAATTCTGGGGTGATATCGAAGTCATGGACTAACCAAGTTTCCGTCACAGCTACAATGAGTGGCCTTAATTTGTCCACTAATGTGAGGTTTGTATACAAAGTACACAAAGTATACAAAGTTTTATGCGTAGTTTACAACATGTTGTAGCGGTAAATAAATCCCCAAAATCAATAGCTCTGTAAGTGTTCAACGTTGGATGCTGACCACATTGGTTTTAATAGACTCACTTAGCCGAAAGCGCTCGGCCATACATTCGCACCAGATCACGAGTTCGAATGGCGTGCTCATTAGCCAGTTTAGATCAGTCACTTCTCAACATATTGATGATCTATCAAATATATCTTCCAACCTCCGCCTTTCTGACTTTTGATTTCACTGGGTGGGCGCGATTCAATAATAGAAGTTGTTCCTGGTATCTCTAGTGTCTCTTTGATGTGTTAGGAGGACATTGTTATCCGCCCAACATTGAAAACAAGTCACATCCTCCTGATCAGTCAGTTTGTTATAATGGTTGAAAAATTACGTCGCTGTTTGAAAAAGGTTACCAAGATAAACATGGTATCTGTTCGAAATAACGATTCCTTCGTACTTGATTGCCCACCGATTTGGAATTTCAAATATAATAAGTTCATTTGTGCTCGTCTAGTTCTACCTCTCCTAGATTGCACTGTTTTGATAATTCCTAATTAGTGCATTCACTAAGCAAAAGAGGTCAGTTCATTTACCTTACTTAAATTTCGTAGAAGTGCATTGAAACGTAAAGAGAGTTTTCTTTACAATTCCGTGGACATGGGTGTCGCAGAGATGCAGGCTGGAAATAGCCGCATCCAATATCCAAAACTTCTGATGTTTGAGAAGGTTGTCTCTCCGATTGCGAAGTAAGTATCTTTAATTTGGACATGTCTATTAAGCAGTTCGACACAATAAGACACCTCGCCCTCCACGTTCGAGGATAAAAATCTAATGGTTGAGTAAGTCATTCCTACGATCTACTTCTATTTTTCCGATTTGAAAGAATGTATGCTTTGCAGCTTAAAATGTTGGCAAGCTTGAGTGAACTGAATACAAATATGAAGCTGGTGCTCTCAAGGTTTACTGACCACGAAGATCCGCGTCAATTTGACTGTGGACTATGCAGCCAACAGTTCCCTTTTGTCATCTGAAGAGGAACTGGGAACTTTGGACGCTTGTCTAGAGCAAAAAGACGTAAGGGACAGATTTGTAAGCATACAACATTATTTTTATTCTTCATTCCTATTACAGATGACTATGTTGACACGTTTAATGAATGATGATCCGAAAACCATCATGCGATATCTTCTGACCTACATCATGAAACCTGAAGTCGCCATTAACTTCACGTTACTTGGTACTTCATCAAAACGAGCGATTCAGAAGTGCCGGTTTTATGGCTGCGTACGAAGTAAGATAAATAAAGCTTTTAAACTTCAGGTACACTGACTAATCGATTCCTGTCGTCACCTGTCAACGAGAAAGACCTTGCGAAACTATATGACATGGCTACGCAAAGTTATTTTCACGACATGAGAGACAAAGTACAGAAGCGTCATTGACGGAAGAAAGAACGCGTATGTACGGCTTTAAAGTGATTATTGTTTTTGCATTATCTATAGGTAGAGTCTTCCGTGTTCAAGGATATAACCGTAAGTTCAGCTTCAAGTACCTTGTTGTGCAAAACAAGTTTCCTAGATATAGTAACGTTTTTCTTCATTACATTTTAGAATTCACAAGGATCGTTAGAGTCTCCATAGTCCAACAGGCCTGGTGGAAAGAATGAATACGTGAAATGCCTGGTCCGTGACAATGGCAATTACACAAGGAGAATTGATGCTCTACCATCTGCCAACTGCTCATAACGTTGTACATTGATGGACTTTTTGTTTTCAATAAAAATTTAGAAATTATACCTTATTTTACGTACATTACATTATTCGTGTGTTGTGTTGTGGGAATGAAAGCGAACACAGGAGGCGGTTGCGGTAAATACATCGGTGTGTATGTAGTGGAAAAGTAGACAATGTAGCGGATATTTAGGCTAATAATCGACAAGTCGTCGGATATTTGGGGGAAAAGTCGGCAATTCGTCGGATATTTAGGGTAAAAATCGGCGATTTAGCGATATTTGAAAAACAGAGCGACAGAAAAGGGAAATTCCGCTTTAGTTCTCCCCGGATAGGCGAAAAAGCAGAGATTTTGGCTCATTTCCCCCTTATTTACGACTTATTTTCCAATGCACTTTCCGCTTTATTTCCCCTTTGTTCGCCTTTATTTCCCTTTTATTAGTTGTTTGGGCATTGATTCAAACACTCCCAATTATCATATTGGTGTTGTGATGGCACCTGTGATTGGACAGTTGGATAAACATTCAAATTCTGAAGCTATCGAAGATTAAATGAAAGGTTTGAAATCTGGAGTACGATCAGGAAAAATGTTGAGGATGATAAAGTTGTGGCTTATTTCATTACGTTCTTCGGAAATGATGCCCAAAGCTTATTGAAAACTTCGGCATTCCCAAATAAGCCTATTTCACTTTCCTACGCAACTCTCGAGGAACTGCTACTAAACCATGTATAATGTACTAATTTTGAATGTCGTGAAAGAGTAAGGTTTCATAAAATGGTTCAATAAGACAACCAAAAGGTTACAGAATTTATTCTTGAATTGCAGAAACAAGTGGACAAGTGTAATTTTGACGATCAACTTCATGTGCAGCTGCGTGATCGATTGTAGGAATTAACATGACAAATCTGGCGAGAGAAGTTGCACAAATGGTTCAAATGGTTCAAATGGTTGAGGACGGAATAGAAGAAGCTTTCGCTTAACGGGCTTCCGTGTCTGGTAGCAGTGGATCACCAATACCTCCAGGCAAGAACCTAGGTATATGAACGATAAAAGAGGAAAAAAAGAATTTGGTAAATCATAATAATATGTTATCCTTAGTCCTTAAGAATAAGTCAAGTTTTCTCTTAAAGGACTCCTGGGAGGTCGCTTGGACTAGCTCAGTCGGCAGCAAATTCCAGCACTTAATAGGTTGATAGGTTGCGTTATTCGAAGTCTTGCTCACCAGTGTAAGAACATCAACGTTGATGATCTATGTCGAAATGATTGGGGGCCTACTATAGTTAGACGAGAATGGGGACGAACCAACTAACGCTGAAGTCACACCTCGCGACCAGCCCTTACGTGGATTGAACCATCGACGCATCAAAGGATAACAGATGCTATGGAGACTGTACATCACAAAGGAGGTTATTACAAGAATATATTAGTTAAGGTACAACTACGGAAGTACAGAAGTGAAAGAATAACGACTGCCGCGTGGGCCAGTCCATGGCGTCCATGACGAAACGTTTCTTCCAAGACGCTAAAACTGTTAGTATTAATTGTGTCTCGATGCACGAAATTGACTTTCAGGACATCCAGAATTCTACCACTTTACCTCGTTATTCCCAAACCGTGAGTACTCAAGGTCATACAACTTGGCGTTTAATTAATGATAATCCTCGTTCTCGTGGGGCATGGTCGAAAAGTCATGTCATTGATTCTCGCTTATGTGTTACATGTTGTCGCGGATTTCTAACGTCGTTTTTTGTCGGCTAGTCACAGTATTTTTCCGTCACATGTTAATTTTTGTAATATTTATGCGTTTTACATGGCGTTTATTGCAGTCTATTGGTTGCCTGACGTATTTGGAGCTGACAACCTGGATGAATGTTTAGTCAGCCTAACTTGGTAATTTGTAACAACGCAAACTCAGGCAAGTGAAATTCATCGTTTATCAAGTCAAAAATACACCAAAATTACAGTTTCAAGCAAAAACAAGCTGTAGAATAATTTACATATGACTTACCTCCCTTATTATGGTAGTGACCCAAACAACCA